CGCGCTCTGGCGCGACCTGGGCGTCCTGGGCGACGTCGTCTTTGGCGCGGCGGCGCCCGCGCTGCGCGTCCGCGCTTCGCACCCTGCGCTGGCCAACGCCGAGGTGCAGCGCCTGGACGACTCGCGCGTGCACCCCGCGCACTACGCGCTGGCGCTGCGCGTCGCGCGCCGCGCGGCGGCCAGGCGCCGCGGCGCCGACGGCGACGCGGGCGCCGACGGCGACGGCTCCGACGCGGACGCGGAGGCGCTGGAGGAGGCATTTGCCGAGCCGCGGCACGTGGAGGCGCTGCGCCTGTCGCGCCTGGCCGAGGCGCTGGCGGGGGAGGGGGGCGAGGGCGCGGGCCCGCCACCGGGGCTGGCCACCCTCATCGACATCCAGTTCGAGTTCGCGCGGCCCTACGGCGAGCTCCGGCCCAAGGCCAAGCGCCTGAAGGTGGGGGGTGCAAGGGGCTGCTGGGTCGGGCAATGCGGAGGCAGGGGCAGAGGAGCGCCCGCGGGAAGCGGGGGCCTGGTGCGCATTCGGGGAAGGGGGGAGGGGGCGGCTTTCGGCGCCCCCAGGGGTGCCGGGGCGGGTGGAGAGGGAGATCCCAGGCTTGCGGCGCTGCAGACGGGCCCGCCCGCTGCACCCTCGCCCCCGCGGTTTGCTGCGACGCCTGCCTGGGAATCCCCCCAACCCCCTTCACCCCACAGGAGGAGGAGCTGTTCTGGCTGTGCCTGGGCGAAACGCCCGAGACCCTGGCGGCAGGCAAGAAGGTGGAGGCGCGCGTGCGGTATGTCACTGCTGGCGTGGCCTTTGTCAGCCTGCCCGACCTGGGGAACATCGACGCGGTGAGCGCCTGGGCGTCGGGAAGGCTGTCTTTTCATGGGGGGAGGCTTGTGAGGGCTGGATCAGGCTCGAGTCCCACGGAGCCTCAGGGCTGCGGATTCAGGAGGTAGATCAGTGGGGATCTTTGGCCGGCCACCTTGAGGTTCAGCGAGCTGGCGCACTCCGCGTGGGCTCCCTGACTGCTCTACCTGATTCGCGTGCTGGCGCGACACCGCCCCCCCCCATCGACCCATCCCACCCACCTCATCCCTGGATCCACGCCAGACCATCCAAGCTGGCAACGTGTCCGGCAGCCACGGCGAGGTGGACTGCCGCGACTTTATGAAACAGGGCGACAACCTGACGGCCAGGTGCATGCGGCGGAGCATGGGCATGGTGACAGCCCACGGATGCAGCCACAGGATTGAACCAGCTGGACGCCCTCGTGGTTCCGACGCCGTGAATAACCCCCGCGTCGCCTTGAAATGCCCACCCCTACCCCCCCGCCACGACCGCAGGATCATCTTCCTGGACCCGGCGGAGTGGAGGATAGAGCTTTCCACCACCTCCCAGGCCCTCAACGACGACGCGGCCTGGGAGCAGCGCCTGCTGTGCAGCAGGGGTGAGCCCAGGGGAAGGGGGGTGGGGGGCACAGCTCGGGGCATACGCTGATGGATGGGGGGCCTGGGGGGGAGCATATGGGTGGTGGGGAAGGGTGGTGAGCATGGCTGGCGGTCAGCGAGTCGCGGCAGGGCCCAGTGCGGGCGGAGCATTCCTGGCACAAGGTGAAGCACGTGGAGAGCAGGGCAGCGCCCACCCCCCCTCCCCCTCAAAGCATGCACTGCTCAGCCTTCGCAACCCCGGCCCCCTGCAGAGCCCTACTACGTGCCCCTGACACTGGCGGAGAAGGCGGCGGCTGAGCGAAGCCGGCGCCCCGCCAAGCCCGCGTTCACGCCGCGCCAGATCCGCCACCCCCTCTTCGAGAACATCTCCATGAACGAGGCGGCCAAGCGCCTGATGGAGGAGGGGCGGCCTGTTGGCTCCGCCATCTTCAGGTGCGTGTCTGAACCGACGCGCCCGGGAGCGGCACAAGGGCTGTGTGGGATCCTGGGAGAGGATGGCGCCGGCGCGCAGCTGGGCAGGGGAAGGGAGAGGGAGGCGCGCTCACGACGGGGCTGGGTCCATGCGATCGCGATCTGGCAATGCTGCTCCGGCGCTGCTACACCCAGGGGGTTGCAGCATGCCAGTGCCATGGGAAGGAACTGTTTGGGCCACCCTCTCCAACCTCATGTTCCCACTCCCAGACCCAGCCACAAGGGTACGCGGAACATAATCCTGTCGCTGCGGATGCCGGGGGGCCAGGTCTGGCACCTGGACATCATGGAAGGGCCCAAGGTCGGTGCTCTGTATCGTACTTCTGGCTTCACGGTCAACCTGGGTCGCGTGTTTTTCCGAGGGGTCTCGGTCGCCGGCGAGGAGCCAGGCGTCTATCGCAATGTGGACGTGCATGCTGGGTGGGCTGTGTGCCGGGGTCAGGGACCCCCTGCCCCCCCCCACCCCCAAGTGCGCCAGCATGCTGTCAAGCCCAGGCGAGTGGCCCCACACCCAGCCATGCGCCCATGATCATTCTGCAGGGCAAGGGCACGGGGCAGCTGCAGCTGGGGACGCCGCTCAACATGGAGGTCATCCCGGGGAAGAAGCGAGGTGAGGTCTCTGGGTTTCGGAGGAGGCTGGGGGGAGGGAGGCAAGCACGTCGCACGACATGCATGCTTCGTGCGCTGGGCCACTGCAGCCCGGCGCGCCCTGGTCGACCCACCCGCGCACACGCCCTTCCGGGCGTCGGCCCCTGTTGCCCCTCGCGGTCGCGCCAGGCCTCTGATCGCCTGCCCTCCCCGCCCCGCCTCCGCGGCACCCCGCCACAGAGGTGTACGAGGAGCTGGACGAGGTGGTGTCGCGCTTCGTGGAGCCCTTTGGCCTGCACTGCCAGGCCCTGCAGCGCTTCCGGCACTGGCGCGACGCAGCCTGGGAAGCCGCCAGCGAGGAGCTGGTGGCGCTCAAGGCGGGCGTGCCTGCCAACCAGGCCGTGTACTGCCTGGGCGTGGAGCCCCGCCAGCCCGGCATGTTTTACCTGGGCTACGTGCTGGGCCGCACCCCACACCGCGAGTTCTTCATGGTCACCCACAGGGGCTTCCACTTCCGGAAACATGTGCGACCCTTTTTTTTTGGGGGGGGGGGGGGGGGAGGAAGGTGGGCGCCGGACCAAAAAGGCGCCCTCGACACACAAAATGGGCGCCGTGTCTCCGCGGCTGGTGCTGCTCGAGGAGGACGAGGGTGGGGTTGGGCAAAGAAGAAGCAGGACGAGGCGCCACGGAATGTTTGCGCAGACTGCAGGGGCTGGGAAGCGCAGCGACGTGGCTGTCATCCCCCCTCGAGCCGCTCCCCGGCCCCTGCATGCGCCGTGCTGCGACCGGGTCCAGCATACTTCAGGGGCCTCATCGCCTGGGCTATGCTACCTCCCGCTCGTTCCTCCGCATCTCACTGCAGCTCGCCGCCTCCCCCACCCCCAAATGCTCCTCCACCCGCACGCAGGACTACCGCACTGTGGAGCACATGGTCAACCAGTTCAAGAAAGCGCCGCGGGGCGACAGCTTCACAACCCCGGGGGCCAGGCACGCGGCAGCGCAGCCGGGAGCGGGCGCGGAGCCGCAACAGCCGCAGCCGCCCCAGCAGCCGCCGCAGCCGCCCGCAGAGGCGGTGCGTCCTCACTACGGCGCGCACTCCTACCCCGGCGCGTCGACTCAGGCGTACGACTATCCGCCGTACCCCCCGCAGTACCAGTATCCTCAAGCAGGGAATCCGTACCCAGCCTACGCTGCTGGGGCTGGTGTGGCTCCGGGGCCACCCCCCGCCGTGAATCCCGCTGTCGGTGAGATTGAGTGCGAGGTGGGGGGTGGGCGGGTCTCTGGCGACTTCCTGTGCAGTCAGGAAGGTGTCAGGCGGCAGTCTGAGCGCCGACCTCGGGCTGTGGGGGCGTGAGCCTGCTGCGGGCTCACTGGTCCCCAGGGTCAAGGCTGACACCAGCTCCCCCCTCCCCTCCCCCCACACAAACAGGATATGGGTATGCTGCCCCTGCGTGGCAGCCACCCCTGCCACAGGGCTGATCTGGTGGCAAGTGGGATACTCCCCACCACACGCCAACGTTCCCCTGTGTCGGACTGTGATGCACATCGTTGGCCTCCCCATCCACAGATTTCCAATCATACTGGCCTTGCTGGATGCCCGGGCATGACATCGAGGTGTTATCAGTACTCATGTCAGTCGGTCGGTCAGAAGGGTCACGAGGCGTGCGAGGGCGGGCTCACGGTTCTTGAGGCATTGGTGATTGGTCTGCGTCCCATGCCTCGTCCACCGCAGCGCCACCGCCCATCTGCGCGGGATCTGCCACGGGGTGGCCGGCTCCCGAGGCGAGCGTCGCCGTCCGTTGGACAGGGAGGAAGAGCTTGAAGTCGGCGGGCAACTCCGACTCTGTGCAGGAGGGGGTTGGGGGCAGGTCTCCTGGCCGTGGGGGGAGTGTGACGGCGGAATGTTTGACCGAGCACACGGCAGCCACTCACCGGGGTACAGCTTGTCGGCAAAGTACACGCGCCTCAAACGGCAGTTGGCGTGGATCTGGAGGCGCAGCGTCTCCACATAGCTAGTGCCTTTGTTGAGCAGGGTGTGCGGTTTGAGTCCGGCACCTGCACGGCCCTCTCCTCCTCACCCACATGCCAACCAACCAGCAGCCCCGCCCTTTGTCCCCTCCAGATTCGGCGGCTGGGTCATGCTGCCAGCCCCACGCTGCCACCCACCGTATGCCCTCTTGACAAAGTCGGCCAGGTTGAACTGGATCTGGTTCCAGTCGTCATCCAGGGTCATGGGCATGGTGCAGATGAAGGGCTGGAGCCGGGTGGTGGACTGTCGAACCGGGAGGGTGGGTGGGCTGATCGGGAATCGGGGAGACTCAGAGTCTAGCGCTCAATCCCGTTGATCCCCGGCCACATCCAAACAGGAACGCAGGGGGGGTCAGCCTGCTTCTCATCACTCTCCCCCACCTGGTAATTTGAGGCACGGAACCTGCGCTTCACGTTCTTGTCGTCCAGAACCTGGACCTCGAAGGTGAAGTACTGGTGCAGGTTCTTGACCACGAGCACCAGGAAGGGGTGCTTAATGCCCAGTGCCTTTGATGGGTCGGCGGGGCAGGAGATGTAGGAGGTGGACACGTTGGCCCCCGTCAGCTCCAGCACACTGCTTTGGATGTCTTCGTCCATCACCCGGCGCACAGACCCATCCTCGACTGCATCAGGGTGGGGTCCCGGCTTGCGCGGTCGCTTGGAGTTCAGTCCCTGAGCTGCGCACGCACACCGGCTGCCGTGGGCAGGGCTGTCTCCCCCCGAGCCAGCCTGGAACGACCCACATACTGTGAGGCGCCCAGAGTTGCAATGGTTTGCTCCCTATGCTGTACAAGACGCTGAGGAGGCCCGACTGGTAGCTGTTTCGGAACATGTCGTCAGGTATGCAAGAGTTGAGGCACTTGGTCTTAGAATCAAGTATATAATTCAGTGCATCCCAGAATCCCACATGACTTCTTTGAAAAGTGAAGGCGCGTTGCTCCGACCAGGCGTGGAGAGGCACCGGTCGGGGATGTCGGGCGCTTTGTGAAGCGATCGAGGGGGCGGGGGAAATGGAAGGGTGGAAAGGAGCAAGTCTTGAAAAGCAGGGATCGCCTCTACTGCAAGCAAGCCCTTGCACAGAATGCATAGCTTGTGTCTTAAAACAGCAGAGTACAATTCAAGGAGCAGAGGTCATGATACATGTCAAATCCTGCAGGCTGGATTGATAGGGTGTTTCTCTGCGCATGTGCTGTTTGCCATCGGTGATATAAGAACGAATGTCACACATGCTGCAGATTGAAACTTTAGTTGTGAAGCTAGAGTACACGCTGGAATTTCTATCATAGGAGGGCCGGATGTGCTGCTCCCTCGACGTCTTGCAACAGCGTCTCTGCCAAGCTTGAATGAGATGCATAAGACTCTGTGAGCACCACTTGTGCCCTCTCGAGGGACGCTTGCAGCTCCTGGGATGCCATGACGTTTGCGTGCTGAAGGCCCGTGATCTCCAGAATTTGCTGTTCCTCACTCGACAGCGTGCTGGGGAGTGCTGCTATGACCTTTCCTAGGGCAGCCAAGGCACCGGTCAGCTGCTCCGCCATGAGGTCGATCTGGTGGTATGGATGGTGCGTCTTACGTGATTTGGAGACAGACAGGAATTCACATCTTGATGGCAGCTGGGTACGCATACTGTTGAAGCGGCCCCTCCTGCGCACCGGTGGGGCGGGGGCGCATCCCGCCTGTACTGGGCCTTCGTCCTTGATACTGGACGGCGCCGCATCCCTCTGGGTTGTGCCTATAAAGTTATAGAGGAGGGATGTGACGTGACACAGCTCATCCTGGAGCTGAGTCACGATGTCTGTGGAAGTGGCGCTGTGCCCCACAGCGACCATAACAGCGAGGATGGCGAACTCAAAGGAGCGGAACAACTCGTATTAATGGGCTGATAGTGTCTTTGATGTACCTTGGGGGTTGGGGATGGGTGGAATTCTGATCCCGGCGTCGAGCTGCAATGTCGAGGGTGCGAGCTGCTGATTGTCAGAGTGTAACAGGTGACCAGGCATTGCCCTCGACAAGGGGTCGTGAAGGAGATGATCACATCGACACTCAGGGGCGGGAGAGCTCGACTTACCCTGTTCCTTGTTGGCAATCTGACCAATGTTTGTAATGGTCATTATGGAGGCATCATCCAAAAGGTGGTGGGAGGATGGGTTGACTGCCGTGCTCAGCAATAGTCTCCACAAATATACCGTATCAGGGTGAGGACATTCGTGCACCCGCCTACATTCTCTGGTAAGCCACTACGTCGGCATACAACACAATGTGTGCCGTGAGTTTCGTCATCTGCTCCATAAAAGTAGTTGGATTGCCGGTGTAAGGCGCATTTGTACCCTCAACCATGGCACCGTCTGTTGTGAAGAAACCAACGTAGATGATGTCTGGTCTGATGTCTCCCAGGTTCACCATAGATACGAACGCGTTGTCGGCGCGGGAAATGCTTCCGGTAGAGGGAACGAGTACTGGTGGAGGAGGGGGAGTCCCGCAGGACGTGGTGAAGGGTTTATCAGCGGCAGCGGCACCACCTCATAGTGGGTGGTCTTATCTGTGTATACAAATGCGGAGCCAACATAATAATCCACCATCATTGACACCGGCTGCGATGTCTCCTTGAAGGTGACGGTCTCAATTTCAGACTATCAGACTCCAGTTGATGGATCCTGTACAGCAGGGATGACCACAGCTCACACTGAACATCGTAGGCGATGTTACCACTGGTAGTAACGATGCATGTGATGTCCACCACACTAATTGTAAGATCGAACTTGATTTTGGCGGTAACAGGTGTCTATGGAGGTGGTGGAGAGGGGTGGATAAAGGTGGTGGGGAGGGGGTTCCCAGGCTCCCAGGACTTGCTATTCCCCACTCGCGTGGGTTTTGGGCAACACATCCGTGGCACTTCTCCGAGCAACCAGGACACCAATGATTGCTCAGGCAGGAGATCAATCTGGAAGTGTTAATGCAGATGTTGGTGTGCTACGGAAGGAGCATGCATTCGCATTTCAACGCAGAGCATACTGTGTGCCAGCTTCATTCTCATTCCCACACCAGGCCGTCCTCAGCTCCCTGCTTTTCGCCCAGGTTTTCCGCACTGTCAGGCGCTATTGCATGATTGCTTACAAGTCAGACAATCAAAGTAGTCTACTAAATGTGGGGCTTTGCACGAAGGCGTCCAGAAGCTGTCCATCAGACCTACCAGTGCAGGGTCAGGGCGTTTGTGCTCAGGCCAATGTACGACAAGGCCACTGCTTGGGCATAGGATGCAAGGGCTGCCGTGGAAGCCGGGAGCACGCTGTCCCAGACGACCGGGTTAGTAGTGTAGTCTGTGGAGACCGTGAAGAGCACGGCACCATCTGAGGTGAAGAAAGCGGCACTTTTGGCATTAACAGAATCCGTGTTTGAGGCTCCGACATCCACCGAAAACGAAAAGGTGTCCACACTGCGAGTGACGCTCCCGGTGATGGACCCAAAGGCTGGTGGAGGGGGGGCGTCTCCCGGAGGGGGGGTGCAGGAATGAGTAAAGTCAGGGGCACAACCTCCTGGAGATCACTGGAACCCGTGTAAATCCAGGCAGCGCCCATGGAGTATGCGTTCATGATGTCGGTAGACTCTCCTGGCTTTGAGATGTTGGTGACGGCAGATGTGGAAGGAGTGTCTACACTGAACAGCTGATTGAACACATCCGAGTACAAAAAGCAATTGACATGAGAGGGGGTGTACCCCCCAGTGGTCACGACAATGGTTATGTCGACAACTCCCATGTCAGATGGGACACCAAACAAGAGCGTGGCAGACGACTGCGGCGGTGGTGGAGAAGGGGGCCTGGGAGGAGGTGGAGGGTCAGTTGGGGGAGGGGGGCTATCTGAGGAGGCGGGTTAGGTGGAGGAGGGGAACTTGGTGGGGGAGGGGGCTTTCTGGAGGAGGGGGCTGGGCGGGGTGGGGAATCTGG